AGCAGCTAAAGTCCTCTTCTTGCACACACTGGGATTCCATATGGACACTGACTTTAATCTCAGCAGCCCTGCTTGCCGTCCAGCTCCCTGTGGCCTGGGAAAGCACTAGAGGATGGCCCAAACTTTGAGACCCTGAACCCACATAGGAGACCCAGAAGATGCTGCTGGTTCCTGGCTTCAGATGGGCGCAGCTCTGGCCACTGCAGCCACTTACGGAGTGAACCAGCTAATGGAAGATCTTCCTCTCTGTCTTTCCTCCTCTCTGTATATCTGACTTTCCAAGAAAATAAGATAAATCTTTAAAAAGAAATACACAGGAGCTAACACTGTGCTATGTCAGGTTAAGTCAAAGAACAATAACTTAAACAAAAACTGGACCCTACTAAAGCCATAACATCACCAAAACAAGTATAACACGAACCACATATCTGTTTAAACCCTCAAGTAGATACATTATAAAAAGGAAAAAGGATCAGGTAAAAATTATTTTTAATACATGTAACTTGCTCCAGGTAAACAAAATACTAGCTTAACAGCATAAATATAGTAAATGTATGAGATTATTTTTATATTAAATCTTCAAAATTAGTGAATGTCTACACATATTACATATCTCAGTTTGGACTGACCACATTACAAGAGCTCACTAGCTACTGGGCCACTGGTGAAATACTACAACCCCACATCCACCTAAAAATTTATAGGAGATTAGAAGACATGCAAACATTAACATAACCTCACCATTGGACTCCATCAGCAAAATCCAGACTGTAACAAATTCAGTAGAACACGGTTTTCCTCAGTGAATGAATGGCAAGGAGATAGAAAAGGAAATCTGTAGACTAAGACATATAAGAGACAAGGGAGAAAAACAAGAACTTTAATGTCACGCTTAAAAATGCACGCAGGTCAACAGCAAAAAGAAAAGCTGAGACATTACTATTACAAACAGGACAGAGGTTGACTCTGGGGAGAACTCCGATTTCAATGAGAATGCAGCAGAGGAAGAGCTTCTGGGTGGAGCACCCATGTGTTAACCACACTGCAGCTTATAATTCATACCTGATCTACACATTTGTTTTAAGCATTTAAATCAAATAAATATTTAATGGAGACAATTTTAAGTTGTTGGGTATTCATTTCCTAGACTTTAGAATACCCTGTCCCACCTCTGAAGCTACACTTTGGCCTGCGGCCCACTTCTGTTCTCCCCAAGAAAACTCCCTCACTCTAAGGATCAGTGCTCCCCTGAGGGACTCTGCTTTCTTGTGCATCAATACAGGGATGTGGTAAGGAATGAGGTCCTTAGGTTAGAACGCTAGGATTCCAAGCCTGGTTCTGCTGGTAAACCAGTTCTCCAACCTTCAGCACTAGGAGTCTTTGTGCCAACTAAATGAGTTAATGCATGTAAAGCCCTCTGAAGATGGCCTAGAAACCAGAACACTTGCCACACGTTAGCCACTCTTATTTTCTTCTCAGTATATAAACATGCCCCATTTCTTCCCTTTTATCGCAACCTCTTCCTTGACCCTGTGTCCCTTTGTAGTTAGGCTCTCATTTCTTCCTTTTCATGACCAGACTGACTTCCTGACAATTTTGCACACACATCAATGGCCTCCACTGGTGCATTTGACGCTGTGGTCCATTTTATTCCATATCCTCTCCTCCTCAAGATCGGGGACACTAACTTTTTGGCTATCTTGCTTTATCCACCATTTCATTGGGCTTCAAAGGCACTGCCTGAGTGCTGAGCATCCATACTCAGGGTTTGAACAGCTTCTTACAAAGAGCCTGCCCCCAGCTCCAGAGACTGTCAGCCTAAACGTCTGCTGGAACTGATGTCAAGGAGTCCAAAATGGCACTCAGTCCAGAACTGCTGCATTCTTTACCTCTCGGGTTACGTACAGCTGATCACCCAGGCAGATACCAAAGGACAATTCCAATCCTACTCAGTTTTCACCCGCAACATGCAATCATCGAACCCTTCTGATTTTACCTCTAAATTTCGTAGACACTTTTCTTACCGTGCTGACAATTAACTTCCCTAGTTTGGATCTACAGCATCTCTCCTATGGAATACAAGACACATAGAGTCCTTGTTGACATGTATTACTGCTTTCTTCTTCGTTTTATCCTAAAGCAAATCAGAACCGGGAATAGTTCCTGAGCTTCACAAGCCTGCTCATTCCTGTGCCTTTGTTATAGTTCCATCTGCCTAGAATGTTCTTTCCCAAATCTTTATTACATTCCTTCTTTGCTTGAGACATTGTTAAGATTTGCTATCATTCAGAAAAAAAAAAATCTTCCCAAACTCCTAGGGTGAGTTAAATTCCTCCATGCCCCAACAGCTCCTCAATTAAAGCATTATCGTTGCACTTAATCAAATTTATTTTTAATTTTTCCTACTATGTCTTCGTCTGCTGAACAGTTATTTCTAAGGGCAGACTGTTTCACTCAACTTTGTAGCTCCAGTGACTGGCACATACTTGGCATATGGCAGACAGCTAACACATCTTGAAAGGAAGTAGTTATTTTCTATTTCATAAATTACTGCCAAAGTATTATTTCTAAAGTTCTATTTTCATCATATGGTGGTACTTTTCAAAAACATGCAAGGACTATCACATGCAAACTGCACTTCCCCATAGGAGCCCTCAACCTGAGGCAGGCATTTGGCACAGTGGGATTAAGACACCACTGAAGACCCCCGCTTCTCTTACCAAAGAGTCTGAGACTGAGTCCCCTGCTTCTGATCCAGCTTCCTGCTAAACCACTTCCTGGGAGGCAGCAGATGATGGCTCAGCTACTTGGATCCCTGCATATCATGTGGGCAACTCAAAGAGAGCTCCTCTCTCCTGGGCCTAGCCCAGCCCAGCCCAGGCTGTCGTGAGTATCTGGAGAGTAAACCAAAAGGTGGTAGATCTCTATCACTCTGCCTGTCAAATAAATTTAAAAAAACTTTTAAAAATAGTTAGCTTTAACAGCTGGCAACAAGTTAGACAAAGGGGAAAGCTGAACTACCATCACCTATCTGCACTCCTAAAGCTGGGAAAAGGAGATGGACTGTGATCAGTACAAAATTGTCCCAAGGATACTTTAATTCCATTTGAATTCTTTCACCTAGTAAGCTAGCCTAATGCAAATGATTAGGAGTGCTTGAGTGAAAGACAATGAAATGAGTACATATAAACAGTCCAGACCTCAAAGTATTTTGAAAAATAAAGTCATACTGAGTCTCACCATGAGACTTGTATTGTGATAACCAATAAAGTTCCAGGGTCTTAAAACAAGAAATACAGTACTATTAAGTATCCAATATATATTTAGCATTTTATTTCTGCTTGCAGAATATAAATTACCTGAGTGCAGAAAACATGTCTTCTATGTAACATACATGTCCAGGACATAGCTAACATATGAATGTGGAGGTAAGAGAATTTATATTTATTTTTAAATGATTTTTAAATTTTTATTTGAAAGGCACAGTTACATACTTTGAGACAGAGATCTTTTATCTGCTATTCACTTCCTAAATGGCCCTGGTGACCAAGGCTAGGTCAGGCCAAAATCAGGAGCCAAGAGCCTCGTCTGAGCCTCCCACATAGGTAAGGGGCCAAGGACTTGGGCTCTTCTCCACTGCCTTCCTAGGCCATTAGCAGAAAGCTGGATCAAAAGCGTGCCCATGCGGGATGCTGGGCATGCTGGCACTGCAGGTGGAAACTTAGCATGTTATGCCATGGCATGGCCCGTGGAGAAATTACAGTCTTAAAATGATTAAGGGGCTGGAGTAGTGGCAGAGCAACTTAAGCCACCTTCTGCAATTATGGCATCCCACATGGACATCAGTTCAAGCCCTGGCTGCTAAACTTCTGATCTGGATTCCTGCTAATGTGCCTGGGAAATCAGTAGAGGGTAGCCAAGTACTTGGACCTTGATTGCCATGGGAGATCTGGAATAAACTGATTCCTGGCTTTTGCCCCACCCAGCTTTGGCTGTTGTGGTCATATGGGGAGCAAACCAGCAGATGGACGATCTCTAACTCATCCTTTCAAATAAATAAATCTTTAAAAAAAAATTTAAGACTCTTTTCGCCACCTTTCCGTGCCTCCACAATGGTGCGCATGAACGTCCTGGTCAATGCTTTGAAGAGCAGCAACAATGCTGAGAAACGAGGCAAGCGCCAGGGGCTGATCAGGCTGTGCTCCAAGGTCATCATCCTCCATTTCCTCCCCATGTTGATGAAGCATGGCTACTGATGATCACAGAGCTGGGAAGACTGCCACGAACCTCACGGGCAAGCAAAACAAGTGTGGAGTGATCAGCCCCAGATTTGAGGTGCAGCTAGAAGAGCTAGAAAAATGACAGAATAATCTGCTATCATCCTGCCAGCTTGGTTTCAATCTCAGCTGCCATGATGGACCATGGAAGAAGCAAGATGAAAGCACACAGGAGGAAAAATCTTGGGATTATTTTTCTGGGGATGTAGCAAACATATACATAAAAGCTCAATGGACCAAAAATTTTAAAAAAAATGTTAAGCGATAACTGCAGATGTTAAGGTAGAGGCAGAAGATAAAATAGATACCTCAATATTAGCCCCTGGTTTTGCAGTTTTGAGTCTTAAGGAAATTCAACCTGGCTAAATAAAACATGTTCATGTCTAGAGTCCTAAAGACTGGTTTGAGCCTCAAATACAATCACGAGGGCTTTATCTAAACACTAGCTAGAAAGCTAAATTCTAGAAGTGATCAATTAGCTGCTTTCTATGTGTCTTATTTTAGACAATTTTTAACAGAATTAAAACTACATTTTCAATAGAAAAGGCTTTCAGCTAAAAACTCCTGAGTTATACTTAAAATCTAAAGGGCACACCTAGCATTATTTTAGGGGCTTACTAGGCATCAAAATGCCTTATCTATAAAATAGATTAAATCAGTTGGAAAAGCAGCAGCACACTTGCAGTCAACAGGAATCATAATTAAAGCTAAAGAAAGACATGCTTTTCTTATCATCTTTATTCAAGTATTTCACAGCAGTTATATTACAAATTACAGTAAATGTTCAAATTCCATAATTCAAAAATTAAATAATTTACTTCAAACTAATGTAAAATGAAGTCAAATGCAAAACATCATTTTAACACAATTCTAAATTAAACTACATAACCCAAAACAGAACATAGTTGATGAAGCCTACTTGATCTACAAAGTAGACTTACATGACTGAAACCAATTAGGACTCCCAACGTCTAAGTAACCAAATGTACAAAATACAAAAGATGCAGGTATAAGCCCAAATGCAAGCTTACAATATGATTACAAATAATAATTATAATAACAATGGCATTCAGCTACGGGAACTGACACTGAAGATACCTACTGAATAGCACCATAGCTGATCCAACTCAATTAAAAGAAAAGAGAGAAGAAATTACCACCCCGCTCCCTAAAAAATAAATCCAATAAACCTACAAATACATTGGCATATGAAAAAAAAATCAAGTCATGAAAGAACATTAAAAATTAATCACAGGTGAGATTCAAGCTCAAAAACACAATTAATTCCACAGCCATCAGTTTCAACCTTAATGTGGTTCCATCATATTCAAAACAGCTCCCGAGATCCCACAGCCGAGCACGAAATATTTGCTGGGCTGGGCTGTGACACATATTCTAGGGAACCGGGAGTAAAGTTTTACACAGGAGCTTATCATTTATAATGCTCACAATAGGAAATAAGAGGTCAATTTATACACGGTTTTGCCAATGCTGTACAGCAAAATCAAGAACTTACAGAAAGGGAAACAAAACCAAGTCTACCTGGATAATTTTACAAGCTGCTTTAAACTATAGGACCACCAGATGTCTCGGTAACATAAGCAAAACTGCTATAGAGTACTTCTTTTTGGAGGGAAAGGGGATCAGAAGAGTTGGTACAATGTCAGCCATTTTTTTCTCCCCTTGGCGTTAGACTGGCTTTCTCTTTAAGACCTATACTGTTCAAAATGGCAGTTCCTATATTGAGGTTGTCTCCAATTTTCTCATTTACATTAAAGATTAAAAATTTTAAAAAGACCTTTAAAGCATTTTAATGCCAAACATAAATAAATTTCTCTTGTCAAACTCACTGATGGCTAAAATCTTAATTAACGTGTACAAATTTAGTAACCTACTAAGAACATGTGCGTTTTTTTTTTCCTTTCACAAGTGCTGCTGTTACTTGAACAGAATGCTGCTGAATTAGAGTAACTGGAATAAATAGTTAAAAAAAAATAGTGCAGCAAGAACCTGAGACTTGCAAAAAACCCTTTTACCAGAAACTTACTACAAAAAATCTGCTACATCTTATTTCATCAAATCTTTAAATTCTGTAACAATTTCCATCAAAATACAAAATGCTAATAATGTATTAGACAGTAAAATAGTCTGAACCAGTATGATGGTAATAAATACTAAAGAAAGCATGAAAATCCTCCCAATAATCAAATTAGAGGTTTCAAATAACCTCCCCTTTAAAATGGTTCATTATAATCGCACTTGCCCACCTTAAAAAATACAGTGTGTCTACATGGTTAGCATCTTGAATTACATAACTAACTGAATATTATGAAAACTTCATTAAGCATAAAGAAAACAAGTGGCATTTTAAAAAAATTAAGCTAGTATTAGAAGGCATTCGATGTAAATGCGAAGAAGCACTTGGGATCACTGCAGGACACGACTGCCGCAGTGTGCTTCCTGCCCTCCACAAAACAGCCAGAGACAAGGAGACCGGTACCTTAGCTTCTGCGAGTCCACGGTGTCAAAGTCATTCCAGGACTCTGCAAACACTGCTGGTAACTGTAACTAAATTACAAAAAGCTGAGGTAGCTCAATATCTCTGCAGTAGTCCAAGACCATTTGCCCTAATTAAAACGCAAACTACATGTGTTGCATATATTGGAAAGACACACCTGCGGCCCATAGCTATAATGAATCAAGATAGCAAGCCAACTTGTCAGCATAATTTTCTAACTTATTTAAAAATCATCTGATAAAAAAAAAAATCTCACTGCACTCCCTTTGCCTCTTTGCAACTGCCTAGACTGTGCCTCCAAATTTGCAGAAAGTTTTGTAAAACTAGTAACCCATAATTAATTTCAGATAAATACAATTCACAGAAATCACTCAGCAATAGCCAAAATGAGTTCCTACCAAAATGAAGAGCTGTGAAGGTCAGCTTATGGGAAGGGATTTAAGCAGTAACACTGATATTCAAGGACCATACCAGCATTCACTGGCAATTAATTACACAACCAGAAAATGAATTTCACGGAGACTCTGACAAATTCCTCTCTTTTCTGTCCATTTGGCAAGTTCCAGCTTTAAAACAAAGCAGTAATAATTTACTGTACATTTCTCTCTAGGAACTCAAACATGAGTAACTATTAAGTTGTCACCGACAGAAGAAAGAATGGTCGTCATCTACTCATTAGGGGTCACCATTGTCAGCAATACTGAAAAGTGTGATTTTTCTCATGACTGTGTATTACATTTTCTCTTTTTTAAATAATTATTATTACTTTGTTTCTTAAACAGAAACAGACCACACAGGAAAACTTAACGATTTTAGCATACTATGTGGCTTACCGAGTGTCTTGATTGCGCTTTGAGAACGCAACAGGCATTTAATGCCAAAACGTTAGTTGTCTTTTAATGACACAGAGTTATCAAAACTTATTTTCAAGGTTGTGACCAAAGAAAACACTCTAATTTATCCATTACAAACAAGCTAATTCAGTTTAGCCTTATCTTTCTCAAATTAATAAAAGGCACATTAAAGGCAGTTCTAAAGAGCCTAATCTAATTTCATCCAGTTTCTTCAATTTCCCACCAGAATATACCAGAGCCAACTCTAAAACAGGAATCAGTTCATTACCCAGAAAGGGGGTAGGGAATATGAGAAAAGGGGCTAAAAAAAAAAAAAAGAAAAGAAAACAGAAACCAAAACAGGATGCCCGCTGTTTAAACAATTCAACACAGTTAGAACTGCCTCATCCAGTTTCCTCCTATTTGCTGGTCTGCTCCCTCAGAGAGAAGTCTTCCAAAAGAGAGTGCACAAGAAGAGGAGCAGAAGCGAAAGCAGTTTCTGTAGCACCAAAATCTCCAAGCTGTGGGGTTGTATTTTTTATTTGTGGAAAATACAACAAGTTTCTGAAGTTCTGTTTGGTTCTTGTAGGCTGGTTGGTTTCAGGTACCTGAGACAATAGCACCAAATTCAACAGAGAAGAATGAGTGAGAGAGCACTTTACACCGAGGCTCTGCACATAATTGGTGCAATTCGAAGTTGAATGGCTCAGAAGGCTGCTCGGTCAGGAGCAGATTGGAGACGGTAACCCACTCATCTTGAGAAGTTCATAGAAATGTCTCAAACGTATGAACTGTTCTTTCCATCTCCTGTAAGATGAGAGGGAAAAATGCATGTTACTATGGGAAAGACAAAAGTGTTCCTCATTATGAAAGAATTCACTTTAAATTTTAAAGAGGACTTTGAGATAGCAATCTGAGTAATTTGCTGATTACAATACCACAGCTACTAGATCTAGCCATCCTAGACACATCTGAGGTGAATGAGGATGATGACAGTTTTAATAACTTATCAAGCTGCTAATACAAGGTGTAAGAAATACAAGCAGAAGGTTGATGATAGCAACAGTGAATAACTTATTATATTCGTAATTTATTATGCCAGGTATTGTACTAAGATATATGTGTATATGTAATACAGAAATAAATACATATCCCGCAGTTATTGGTAAATGTCTAGGTTGCCTTACACCTAGGCAAATGTTACACTGCTGGGAAAAAAGCAGCTAATAGGTGGCAGGCTTTCTAGGCCTGGTTAATACCAAATCTGTGTTAACTATACCGCTGTGTCAACATAGTTGCCTCTGTGGGGAAGTTGAGGAACGCCAGGCCAGAACACATCACCCTGTTGTCCCAGGTATGGGGGACACTGTAGATTGCCCAAGGAAGGGGGCCTAGGTACATACTGGAATGAGGACTGCTGAGGGCATGTTTGACAAGGGGCTCTGACAGACTGGGCCACTGTATACACAGGTAGGCGAGAGATCTGAAGCTGAGTGGTATAGAGGCGGTTAACGAGAGGGCATGTCTGGGTCAGCCAAGGCTCCTGTCCATGTGTGAGACCTGGGCGGGCTAAATACATCACTTGCCACCTGCTGACACATGCAAAAGCGGGGACTGGAGACATGCCTGGCCTGGCTAGGCAACAGCATCCAGCTGTGAATGTTGGGCAGGGCGTGGCCCATGTCAGTTTGACATCCAACAAAACACTAGAAGCAGATCTTGGGGCAAATTCTAGAGCGGATTTGTAGGCTCATCTCTGCGGGGCTACAGCATCTGATGATTTGCATGAGAATTGGTGGTGATGATGGACCAAGACAGGCTGGAATGCAGAACTCACCAACACTTGCAGGTGCCAGGGCTAAGCAGGGAGTGGACCTGGCTGGACAGGCATTAGCACCCATCAGCATAAGCATGGGCTGGATAGTGGGGTTTGTTAGGCCAAGCTAGGCTGCAGTACCCATTGGTGGAAACAAAAGCTGAATGGGATGCAAGACAGACTCAACCAGTCTGCTGTACATACTGGCATGAGCAGGAATCAAGGCTTGGGGCAGGCCTGGTGTGGGTTATTAGGAGTCACTCCAACTGGGTTGCAGTTTCTACTGGTGTACATGAGTGCTGAGTGTGTGGTGGGCAGGGTCAGACTGGGCTGCAGCATCCTTTGGTTTACTTAAGAAATGGGGCTGGGAACAAGAATGACCCAACAACTGCAACCACCAGTATGTGTGCAGGCTGCTGTGGGTAACCAACTGAGCTGGTCCCTGTACTGGCTAGCACACACACAAAGGTCAGGTCTAGGGTCACCTCAGACAACATTTCTTTGGAGATCCCTCCTTTCCCCTTACCCCAACTGAACTGTTGGACTCAGAACTCCAACCATGGGGAGAATTGCAGGATCTGTGGTCTAACTGTGGCATGCATGTATCAGAACTAGGCCTCTTCAGTTGCTGAAGATGGTGCAGTGGATCACATGCCAGCATCTACATGGGGGATATGTAGAGGGTCCATTGGGCCTGCAGAGGACATCTAGTGCCATAGCAGACTATGAAGGGCAGAGCAAATCAGACAACTCTCCTGGCAAGTGTTGACAGCAAATCTTTGGACTAATGGAGACTGTAAGGTGGACTATGTCAGCCAATGAACCTTGGAAAGATTTCTTCATTCTTGGAGTAATGAAATCAATAGCATTTCAGAACTCCCAAAACCACTTGAGCAGTACCCATGGAGCATGCTGGGGAGGACATCAGGGACCCTGGGATGACATCAGATGGCTATCCCACATCCCTTGGTACTGATGCAGTTGGGATCCAGGGTGAAGCTTCTCCCCTTATCTCTCTTCTTCCCCCAGATACAAGAAAAAGAAAAAGAAAATTGAAAACAATGGTCTCGTTCACTTTCCCCTATTCCTCAACCCTTCCTACCTTACCAGTAGTCCACATGAGCATACATCCTTAACTATGTAAACATCATCAGAAATAATTTTTTTTAAAAAATACAAAAGAACATCAAAAGGCCAGTACTAAGGGCAGACCATGACAAGCAGGGGTGCAGCACCTGCTAAAATGTGTGAGATTCAGGGCTTGGAGTGGGCCTGTTAAGGGAACTTGTGGAACTCCCCTGCTAGGCTACGGCTCCTGCTGGGGAGCACAATAGCCAGAGCTGGGAGCAGGCCAGGCAAGACTATAGCACTCAGTATGGATGTGAGCCAGTATGGGTTGGGCAAGATGGGATAGACCCCAGCATCTGCTAGTGTTCACAAGAACCAGAATGGATGTGGGATAGGCATGACACCATTGGGTCATGTGTAAGTTGGGTCTGGGGGTGGGCCAGGCTGTAGCACCCACTGGCAAAGGCCGGAATGGGTGCGGGCCAGTCAATTTAGGCTGCAGTGCCGGACAGTGAATGCCAGGACTTGAGGCAGGCTATGTCAGGCTAGGCCACAGCACCCACCAGTACATGTGAGATGTAGGGATAGAAGCAGGCTTGGTAGGGGAAATTGGAAACTCCTCTGCTAAACCATAGCTCTCACTGGTGATCATGAGAACTGAGGCAAGGGGAGGACCTGGTAGGGTTTATTGAGGGTTACCCCAACTAGGCCATGGCACTTGGTGGAAGACTGGGCCTGTGGAAGGCTGGGCTGTGCGAGGGCTCAGCACCTATAAGAGATGGGGTTGAGGGCAGAACTGTCCAGGCAGCTGCATCTACCAGTATGTCACTCGGCTGGTGCAGTGATAGACCAAATTTGACTCTGCACTAGCTGGCACACATAAGTGTCAAATTCAAGGTCAATTCAGGTGAGATTTCTTGGGGGACTCCCCAGTCGTATTGCTGAACTCAAATTCCAGCCACAGGGAAAATTATAAGAGATTTGGTCAGAGTTTGGAGGGCATGCATCAGGACAGGGATTCTTTATTTGCTGGTGCCTGTGCAGGGGACAACATGTCCAGAGGTACACGGGAGGCATGACAGCTAGCTATTCTAGGCCACAGAGGATATTGAGCGTCTTATCAGATGATAGAAAATAGAACAGAAGGGACAATTCTGCTGACCAAGCTCTGCAGCAAGTGTCTGGGTCTGTGGATGCACTAAGGTTCACCTGATCAGCCAACAGACCTTGGAAAGATTTTCTCGACCCTGGTGCAACGAAGTCAACAATGTCCCAGAACTACCAAAACCACTCAAATTAGCACCCTTAGAACATTCTTCCCCACATTGGGGTTTCTAAGGCATCATTAAACAACCACCCACCACCCCCAGGTGCTGATATAGTTTGACAGCAAGGAGCATCCCCCTACCCTTCCCCTCTTGCACACACAGATTAAAAAAAAAAAAAAAACTAAAACATTTGTCCCACCCACCTTCCTCCATACTTCAACCCTCCTCACCCTAATCAGAAGCCCACATGGGCGTGCATCCCTCTCAGCTGCATAGACAATATTGAAATAAAAATTATACTTGAAAAAGAATAGATTTGTATATACAAATTATAAATTTTATATATTAATTCTTTTTTTATACTTATGTGATCTAGTTCCCATGGCAATTTGAGAAGCTGAAGATGGGTAGCATTATGAGTTCCATTTTACAGATAAAGAAACCAAGGTAGAGGGGATAAATAACCTGAAAGCCAATAAATGGCAGCTTTACTCCAGAGCACCTTCTTACTCATATCCTGCTGATTCCCAAAGCAAAATGACTGCATTCAACGTAGTGGGGCTTATTTCAGAAAGCAGAAAGCACCTTGGTCCCATTCCTATCCACCTCTGACAACAGAGAGGTAAAAAGCCAGAATGACTAGCATCTGTCACTGCCACCAGGAAAGTCACATACTGCTGACTGCTACCAATTCCCTCCCTCCTCACAAAACTCAGGTTCCAGAAGACAGAGCTTCCAACTTCCATTCTCAGAGATGTTTCATTGCAGATGACTCAATCTGTTCCAACTAATATGAATAATGGAGGATAGATATAAAATAACTCAACTCCACACATTTTATTTAGGTATGCAAATGTCAGACATCTACGACATTTGGTTTCTTTTTCCTTTTTTTATTTATGTCTTTTTATTGGAGAGTCACACACACAGAGGGAAAGATCTTCCATCTGCTGGTTCACTCTCCAAACGGCTGCAATGGCCAGAGCTGAGCTGATCCAAACCCAAGAACCAAGAGCCTCTTCTAGGTCACCCACACCTTCTAGGTGCAGGATTCCAAGGCTTCAGGCATCCTCCACTGCTTTTCCAGGCCACATGCAGAGAGCTAGATAAGAAGTGGAACATCTGGGACATGAAACAGTGCCCACGTAGGGTCCTGGTGCTTGCAAGGAGAGGATTTGTTAATTGAGCCTTCATGCTTGGCCAGGTTTTCTTATTTTTAAATAGCTCCAAAGAAATTCCATTCCACAGTTCTATAAAATTAACCAGTGTACTACATGATTAATTAAAATCACTTCTACTAAACACTTAAATATATGTTGTGAAGTAGGGGGGAAAATCAGGTCATAAGTCCAAATACATGAGACCAGTATTGTAGTTCAGAGTGTTAAGCTGCTGCCTGGATACCAGCCTCCCAGATCAGCATCCCGTATTGCAGCACTGCTCTTCTGGTTTAGCTCCATGCTAATGTGCAGCAGCAAATAACCAGACTGCAAGATGCTGAGTTCTTGGCCCATGGCTTTGGCCTGATCGTGCCCCAGCTTGTGGCCATCCGGGGAGTGAATATATTTGGGGATGGAAAATAACTACCTCTGTCTCTCCTACTCTCTCTATAACTCTGCCTTGTGAATAAATTAAATCCTTTAGACAGAATATACAATATGATTCTAATTTTAAAATACAGATTCTTACTTTATGGTATAGCACGTGAAGCTGCCACCAGTGACACTAGCATCCCATTATGGGCTGCCTCAAGTCCCAGCTGTTCTACTTCCAATCATGATCCCTGCTAATGGCCTGGGAAAAATAGCAGAAGACAGTCCTAGTGCTGGGATCCTCGCACCCACACAGGAAAACTGGAAGCAGTTCCTATATCCTGATTTCAGCCTGGCCAAGTACTGGCCACTGGAGCCAGCTAAGCAGTAAAGCAGTGGAAGTAAGATTCCCTCTGTTTCTTCCTCTCTAACTCTGCCTTTTAAGCATATAAGTAATATAAATTTTATTGTATATATATATTTTTTCACATAAATGTGGCTGTAAGTTTTTAAATGCTCTCTTGCTTTGATTAAAATATTCCCAATTACACATAAAAAATAACTCTATAGAGTCTACATCTACTTTCTTAGATATACCAGAAAATAGTCATGGTCTTAACTCATTTTCTGCATCCCAAACATTTAGTACAGCATTGAATAATACAAGTACTTTAAAAATATTTAACAAACCACCAGATAAACTATCAGGCAAGTACATAAAGAGGGTCTCACTTAGCCATTTACTAGGTAGATAAGGGGTTACATTTGCTAAAGAAAAAGAAGTACAGCTTACTGATGAAATTATGCAACCAAATAGAGGAGCTCATCTGGCAAGGGAAGAACTTTTGTGTGGTCCTGAGTTGTGTACACATGGAATGGCTCCTCCCAAAAACAAGGAAGCATGAGGGTAACCAGTTCTTCCTGTGGCCATGTTACAGGGCAGAACGGGCTCCCTGAGACGTTAGGTTCTCTTCCACTGCCCACACTGACTGCTCCTTTGGATCAGCAGCAGCAGTAGGCTGTTGGGCCTTGCCCACATCCAAGAGATCCAAGCAATAAGCTCTGTCAGCACGGTAGTGATAGGCAAAGCAGTGGGGAGCCAGCACAGGCTGCTTTGAGTATTTTGCCAATCCAGAACCACGGATTTCTGTGCTTTGGCAAGCTAGGAACACAGATAACTTCTTTCCTGAGACAAAAAGACATGGAAAGCTTTCATTCTTCAAAATATAACTCTTAATGCTTCTGGTGAAAGACGCAGATTTAGGCTCAATCTTTTTCCCCTTGACCCTTTGGACAAGTAAAATCACACATTTATTTACTGTACATGAATTAAGCACTTACCTCTACAAGTTGTGATTTGTCATAATCTTTCCGATGACGGTAGATGCACTGACTAAGAAGAGAATATAATCTCTCAAGCTGGTCAACTGCCAGATTGTTGCTTTTATCTACCAACAAATCAAGCAATTTCTAAAAAAATCAAAAGAATAAAATAGGTTTATTTCAGTACTCAAAATGAAATAGAAGACAGACATCTTAAGGCTATGGGTTTCAATGTCATCCGACATTACAAGATTCTAGGGTTTACTTTATAACCAAGAATATTCTCAAATATTTCAACCCCTCAAAACACATACAATTCTTTTTTACGAAAAGGCCCAAGACATTTAATTCCTAGGTTAAAGCAAAATAATTTCAAAACTAGTTTTACTCAATTGCCTACAGATGCGTACACACCTGCACGCATGCATTTACCACCAGGACAGCTGGGCTTACCTTCAGCCTCTCGCGGTCCACTTTGAGAGGCGGCACAGGCTCCGAAGGCTCTTCTGGAACCAGTTCCAGGCTTGTTGCTTTGGCCTGCTCTAAAATTAATTTACGGCATTTCTTTACTTTAAAAGCACCTACAATTGAGGGGAAAAATGCACTGCAGCAAGTAAAACTCAAGAAAAGTCAATCTTAAGCAACTACAGCTTCTTCTACTCACCAATCCCCTTTTAGAATGACTGCTTTTTTTTTCCTTGTACAAATAAATGACTCAAAGTTAATTAAACCACAACTATGAAAACCAAGAATCTCACATAACAAACATATCTACTAAGAAGGAAGAAGAAAGTAGTCTTCACCTTTAAGGACTGACTTGAAACAGTCTCACTCTTTTCATAGTTACCATTTTACAATTTGAAGCTTTTGAAAATGGAAGCCTAGTGAGGCAGATGCTTACACAGAGTGGAGCCAATCTGCCTAGATATCTGCCTCCTGACCCAAAACCCTTCACGTTTCTCACTTTCTTGTATCCCACTGCCTACATTTCTCTGGGAGAGTCATCTGAGCTACAACATTTAAGGTGCAATGCCTATGGTGGGCATATAGCCTAGTGATCCAAATACCAGCTTGGGTGCCTACACCCCTTGATGCAATGCCTAGGTTCAAGCCCTGGCTCTGCTCCCAATTCCAGCCTCATGCTAACATCTATGTTAGCAGGCCACCAAATGATAGTTAAGGTAGCTGAATTCCTGCCACTAACATGGAAGAATGGGACTGAGTTTCCAGCTCCTGGCTCTCATTCCCAGGCTGGCCCAGCCTTAGTCTCTGTGGGCTTTGGGGGTATGAACTAATAGATGGGGTTCTTTCTGTCTCTCTGATACCCAAATAAATAAAATTAATAAATTCTTTAAAAGTATAATATGGCTAATGTTATCTTAGAATTAGTGTATTCTATTTTCCTCCTACTGTCTTGCAGAGAAAATAGAAATGTCAGGCCTGAAGCAACAGCCTGTGACTAAATCCTCACCTTGCACACCCTGGATCCCATATGGACACTGGTTCATATCCCAGCTACTCCATTTCACTTCCAGCTCCCTGCTTGTGGCCTAGGAAAGCAGTACAGGACAGCCCAAAGCCTTGGGACTCTGCACCCACATGGGAGACCCAGAAGAAGCTCCTGGATCCTGGGTTCAGATCAGCTCAGTTTCAGCTGGGGTGGCTGCTTGGGGACTGAACCAGTGAATAAAAGATCTTTCTCTCTGTCTCTCCTCCTCTCTGTAAATCTGACTTTCCAATGAAAACAAACAAACAAAAAAATCTTAAAAAAAAAAAAAAAAGATAGAAGTGTTTGGGCCCAGCATGGTAGCTTATTGGCTAAAGTCCTTGTCTTGCACATACTAGGATCCCATATGGTGCCAGTTCTTAGCCCGGCGGCCCTGCTTAGCCTCCAGCTCCTTGCTTGTGGCTGGAAAAGCAGTTAAGGGCATTGGGACCCTGCACCCACGTGGGAGACCAGAAAGAAACTCCTGGTTCCTGGCTTTGGATAAGCTCAGCTCTGGCCATTGTGGTCACTTGGGAAATGAACCAGTAGATGGAAGACTTCCTCTCTGACACTCCTCCTCTCTGTATATATGACTTTCCAATAAAAACAAAATACATGTTTAAAAAATACAGAAGTGTTGAAGTAGGTGAGTATATCCTCACTGTGCCCATTTCTGTGAGGGATAGGAAGGGTAGACAGAGCATTGAGCACTTTGCTCCTCAAAGCAGGACAACCCTACAAGGAGATTGAGGGGGAAGGAACACAGAGACAAGCTCACACAGTTTCAGAATCTCATACTTTTCCTCTATCCTGCATTCTGCCTCTTACTCTCTAACCTCCAATGCTTCTTCCTTCATTTCATCAGTCCAACTTCTACACAAGAGGCTGGGCATTCAGTGTAGCAGCTGGCTGCCAGTTGGGATGCCCATATCCCACTTCAGAGGTTATTGGGTTTGAGTCTTGGCTCTTCTTGTAATTCCAGTTTAATGCCACCCTGGAAGGCAGCAATTTTTACATAAAAGCTTTTAGATCACCAACTGAATTAAGCCTTTCCTGCAAGAACAGCAGCACTGGTATAGATCCTCCTATAGATCCAGTCAGCCTCATGTCACAGAGTTCCTTCCTTTTTCTACTCACTTACTTAACCCTAGCTTTAACACAGTACTCAGGTCTTATTTATATGACAGCCATAAATATACAGTGCTCTTAAAACTACTCTCGGGGCTAGTGCAGTGGCTTATATTAACCCTCTGCCTGTGGCACTGACATCTCATATGGATCCCAATTCAAGTCCCAGATATTCCACTTCCAATCCAGTTTAGGTCCTTGGGCCCCTATACCCATGTAGGAGACTCAGAGAGAAGCTCCTGGCTCCTGGCTTCAGATCAACTCAGCTCAGGCCATTGTGGCCATTTGGGGAAATGAAACAATAGATGGAATGTCTCCTTCTATAATTGTCTTTTTATCTCTGTAAATTTTCCTTTCTAGTAAAAATGAATAATTGGAAAAAACTACTATTAGCAAATATTGAAGAAAGAGAAATTTTTAACAGGCAGCATTTAAGAACAGCAAAACTCTTTTTATCCATTGAAAGAATTTTGAGACTTTGACTTTCCTATTTATCCTACTTGCTAATTCTGCTAGAGCTTTAAGAAGCTAGCAGGGAAGAAAAAAAAAAGCAAAACAAACAAAAACTTTTCCCACATATCCCAAAAGCACTTTCATTTGAGTGTACTTTTCAAGGGAAAGGAAATGAAAACCTCAACAGATTCTCAAAGAGGTATAATTATTCATCAACTATTCCTACTGGGAATCAGATAAAACATGTAATAAATTAACTCTGGAGTTTTAAGTCATTAGAAGAAGATGTTTTAAATTATTAGCTCTACCTTCTTGATCCAGCTCTGTGTCTTTAGTCCCTGGATCAGAGGTTGGCTCTAACTTCTCACCGCTGCCACACCGCAGGGCCTCTAGTTTCTCGGGATCTCTTCCAAGGTCTTCCGTCGAAGCTTCTGGTTTTTCTCTAGTCTGGTCCTCCATAACAATCTTTTGTTCAGAATTACATTTTTCCCTACTACTACAGAGAGAAACTACTTCAGCTTTGCCATTCTGACACGCCCTGGCTGGGAGTCCCTCAAAGCTGTCAGTGGAAGCTTCACCATTGAGGCAGTTTCCTTTAAGGAAAGGCTCTTTCCTAGATGTCTGTTCTGGATTGAGAGAACCACTGCTGTTGACAAGGAGAGATTCATTCGAACTTTCCTCTTCAGTGGACGCAAAGTTCTCTTTCGTGCCTGCTCCACTGCTAAGCCTCTGCCCCTGATCCATGTCCATGATGTCACACGACGACTCATCATTGGTCATAGACAGGTCTCCAGTTTCTTCTCCATTCTCCTCATGGCAGTCAGTGTTTATCTCAAACTCGCCATTTTCCAGCAACTTCCTGTCCTCCGAATGGTTCTCAAAGTCTGCAAATTTGGTGTCTTCTTCATCTTTTTTTAAATTATTGACCTTTCTTTTCTTAATAATTCCTTTACCCCACTGCGATCGTCGCCTTGATTTTCTCCGAACCCGAACTGTTTCACAAGAAAGAAAAACATTACCTTACAAAAGTTTACTGAATAGAATCCAAAAGAATGTAAACCCACACTGGTATAACACATGGCATATCCATGCTAACTAATTCCTATTGTCTACAAACATGGAATCAACAGGATCAAGTCAGGGATGAATTCTGTACAATAAAAATTTCTTAAAAATTTGCTCCATGAACACTTCTACTTTTCTACTTTTTAGCTACTCTTAGTCACCAACACCCAGGACCCAAACACACCTACATTTAGGGAATGATCACATTCCCGGTTGCCCACAAGTCAAACCTGAATTTCCACCAGAAAGGTGAGTGCTTTACCAGCAAGACCACCAAAAAAATAGCTCCGAAACCATGAAAGGAAAAAAATAACACAACATGATAGGATACTGAGGGACATCCCCACAAAGGATTCCTGTTCTCCCTCCCTCCAGAAAAGAAAGAATCACCTACAGTTCCTAGATCACAGATAGAAGCCTTATAAAGTCATATGGACAATTTGGTTACTCAATTGTCAACAACTAGTTACCTAGCAGCATCAACTTCTTTAGTTGTTTAAACATATGTAGAGAAACTAAATCCTCTTCTAATCAAAGCATCAATAATATGAGCAGTTTTAAAAGTAAATATTTGGTCAATCCCATGAAAAGGGAGGTCTACAAACACAACTGGGACTACAGCAGGACATGCCATAAACTATGACGACGTCGTGACTGGGCAGGGCAGGGTACAAGGTGAGAATGAAATCACTGTAACAGGCAAGTTTATCCCATTATCTCTTAATAAAAAGTTAACTTGTATGCTGTAATTTATGACACTATACAGTACAATTAAGTATTCTTTGGAATGTTTAAATACAATTTTAAAGCCACTTAAGCTAAACCCCATCACCTTCAGAATCTAAAGCCAAATTCTAGATATTAGTTCACTGAAGTAAGTAACTTTTGGAACCATGAAATTATTGAATTTGTTCTATTTTTTTTAAAGAGATGAAATATACTTTTAATATATTAAAACTAAAAAGCTTACTATGACATTACTAGGTGTAGATGGTTTAAGCCATGATTCTAAAATTGCTTTTTAAGACAAAGGAATATGGTCTGATGATAATCCTTGTTTTTCAGACTCAAACTGTGTAATATGAACTTGTAGTCTACTGACAGGTTTTACATACTTTGGTCTCAGTGTATTCATACAAAATGGAAAGATTTAGGTGTAAATATTTCTCATTTCTATCCACTAAAGGTTCCTGAAATCACCTCCAATACTCAACTAATTTAACAATCTGGCTTGAAATATATTTTCCTACTATTGTTAGACCCATCTTCTCATTTCCCCCCCATTAAGTTCTATTTTTATAATCCACAGTTACGGGTAATTAGCACAACAAAGAAAAATAAAATGTCTGTATTGATCTTCTGTTAGAAGCTGGTACTCAGTCTCCAGTGATGGGCATTGGTAGGCACTCCATTAACTATATAAAGATGAATGAGGCAACTTTAAAAATGAGAGAAAAATATTCCGCTAGCTCTGACTTAAAAAAGAGTTGTGACATTTCTACAACCTGACAAGTCCCTCCAGCTGTGCAGCAACAGTACAAGAGACTTCCTCTGCTCTTGCCCAAGCCGTGGATCTACAGAAACAATCAGAGGCTGAGCTCTGCTCCATAAAGATGCAACTCAGCTACTTTGCACGCAGCTCACTAGGAAAAGGCTAGAAGCCCTACTGAAGCAAATTTATTTCTAATGCTTTCATCCTAGCTAACAACAAAGGAAAGTGTTATCAATCTTTGGGAGTTAGAATTGGAGCTATTTTCCCTCTCACATTATTTCTAATGGTTGGTACAGTTTTTGTAAAGTAAGAGAAACTGGTCACACAAAAGCTCCATGAGAATAAGAATTCTTGTTTCACTCACTTCACAGTACTTGGAATGTGACAGCAATACATATCTGTGGATCAAATCCTTAATCTATAACTTCCTTCATTAGAGGTGCATTGATGCTGGTTTAGGGACATTCTTAGAGGTAACATTATGGCATCATTGAACTCACTTCCAAAATCAAGGCCTCAGGAAAGCAATTCTTCCTTATAAACACTGAAGAATTTATAAACTTGTTTGCATCTTCCTTATAAACTCTTATTTATATCTTCCTTATAAACATTTATTTAGATAAGTTAATACAAAACAAATGATGTGTCACATGTGCCATCTACTGGTAAGAGACAAAATCCACACTTGTAGAGTGAGTCAAACATTTGAAGTAACTTAATTCAATGCATTTTCATTACTAAACATTTGTTTCAGGTGCAGAGAATGTCAAAGATTTCAAGGTGTGAATTAAAGTGCTATAAGTAAAGTCATGATATAATATACAACTACATAAAACAATTTTCATCAATTTTATGGCAAGCAAATGCATCACAAAGTCCTTTCTCAAACTTCCTTACATATGAGTGACACATTTTCAGAGGACAAGTGAAAAAAAAAAGTGAGTATAACTCATTCATTCAAACTCAATGCCATGAGTGGAAGGAACATGTTAAGGTCAATATTATTGGTAATTAAACCAGCATCATTACTTTTGTGCCAGAAGAACAGTATGTATCTTTCAAGACAGGCTATCTTCAGGTAATAGAAGGAGTATATTAGAAAGATGCTATGTTTATAACATCAATCTTTTAGAAATTTTATACATGAACATGAGTAAAAATGAAAAATAAAACACTGAATTTTTTCTTTAACTACATCCCATTCAGCTAGACAAAGAAAGCTGTGAAGAATTTTCAAACCAAGCACAAAATATTCCACCAGAAAAACCAAACTCCTACCGCCTATCAGTCACTCCCGTATGCCAGAGTTTCCATTTCCCACTGAAAAGAACACCCTGCCTAGCATACGACAAGGGGATGATGACAGCGATGGAAAGCAAGCCGGTTGGCTTTGCATGTCTACGTAAAAAAGCAAAGTTTAACACTGAAAATATCCAAACCTACATAATTTACAGCAGCAAGTACTGAATAAGGATAGAAAACAGCAAATATGTTTAAAAAAATACAATTTCAGGGTGGGGCAGATATGTGACATTGTGGTTAAACTGCCACTTAGGATGTCTTCTTCCCATTATTGGAATGCCTGCGCACCAGTTCCAATTCTGCTTCCGGTTTCAGCTCATGCACACCTTGGGAGGCAAGGGGCAATGATTTAAGTGCCAGGTCCATGCATGTGGAAGACCTGGATTAACTGAATTTCTGCCTTGTAATCTGACCCAACTTTGGCTGTCGCAAGCTTTTAGGAATTAAACCAAGGAATGGCAGATTTGTCTTTTTCTCTGCCTTTCAAATAAGTAATTAAAAAAAATTGTGATTCAGTATGTTACTCCACAAGCTCTTCACTTCTGAAAGCAGAGATTAAAAGACCTGTGGAAAAATAGCAGTTTGTGTATCCCGCTCCTAGCAAATCCGATCCCTAGCGGTTGTTACCACTACTGGATAACATGCTCTCACTCACATGCACATTTATTTGCAGAATTGTGCCAGACATCCATTGGATTTCTTTGTTTGTGCCGAAATGCCTCTTCAACTCTCGTTTCTGTCTTCCGAGCTGCAGTACCATGAGGATTTATTTGTTCTGCTGTTACTGATAAGCCTGCAAGCAAAAGATAAGCAATACCTATTTAAATATTCCCAGCTACATAAACGAACAAGGTTAAAAAAAAAAAAGCCTGAAATACAAAACTGAGTTTTAAAGTCATTAATTATATTTGGACAGTTTGTAATTCAGATGGAAAGATTGTCTTTTAAAATCATAAAGACAAAACAACCCAACAGACCATGCTTCCACTTAATCCCCCAAAGAGAGCCCATTGTCCCTTCACTTCAATTCATAAAGGGACAAATGTTGCATTATTATGACTGTGGGAACGTAAGGTTACATACTGTCTGGAAGTCATCTTCTCCACCATTTTAGAACCTCCAGTAAGTGTTTATGTGTCCAATAACCACACTCCCATGAACTGTATGAGTCTGGTGTTTGCTCCTATCATACCATGATGTGGTAATTAGTGTTACTTTCAAGATAAGAAACCATCCTGTCTCAGTTTTCTTCATGAAAGTCCTCTCTTCTGTGTGGTCTTCCTTCAAGGTTGCTGTCTCCAGGGTCCTTCCTGTAATCTCTTTTCTTCTCACTCTAACCCACATCTTTCTCAACAAAGTATCACTTTTGTGTTCAATTTTTTTTATCAGTTTATAATAATTCTCTAATCTACATCTTTAGCCCAAACACCTCTTGCCATCTGACCCATACATACAGAATTGCCTATTTGATGTCTCCAGTTGGGTGCCCTAAAGATGAGTCAAATTTGAAAGTAACTGGCTTTTCTTTCTCCATTAAAGCCAAAAAACAATCAGCTACCTGGACTGTCTTTCCATCTGGATTGGCAATGTTAGCAACAACCAAGTCATTCAGTCAGTAATAAGGCAGTGTAGTACCCTCCCCTTACTACAGTCACACCACTTGTTTTTCCTCTTTTTACTGTTATTTCAGCCATTAAAAGCCTAGACTCCTCCAATAGTTTTTTTCCCTAGCAGTTTTATTGAGATGTAACTTATATAATATGAAATTACCTGTTTCAAGAGTACAATCAATTTTTAGTAAATTTACAGATCTGAATGGTTACCAAAAAAGTTTCATTTTAGATAGCTGTTCCAGACAACTACTACTTTTTGTCTCCATGTATTTGCCTCATCTGGACATTTCATATAAAACAAAAGGACTTCAAAAAGTTCACAAAATACAGAATCAAAAGGTAAGTTTATTTTGGTGTAAAATGAGTTTTAATCCTTGTGCAGTTTTTTCACAACACACAGCCATAAAGTTTTTGAAAAGCCTCAACTGCACTGATTTAGAAAATTTTTCTAGCAAAATAAACATCTTTAAATGCCAATCCTCGTGAGGCTTTTGAAGGACCCTCCTCTAGGCTAGACTGCCTTTGTTCAGTCAACATGATACATCAGAAGTTCATCCAGGTTGAACTGTGTTTCAGTACCTGTTTCTTTCATTGGCGAGTTGCATGCCACAGTATGGTTACACTATGTTTTGCTTACTCATGGACATTTGGGATATTTCCAGTTTGGGGTTAAGATGAACAATACTGGGTCCAGCATAACGATGAAGGGACCTAATGCTTCACCTGTGGCACCAGCATCCCATATGGGCACCAGTTTGAGTCCTGGCTGCTCCATTTCTGATCCAGCAATCTATTCATGTTCTGGAAAATCATCAAAAGTTGGAGCCCCTACACCCATGTGGGAAACCCAGAAAGGCAGATCAGATTTACAGAGAGAAAGACAGACAAAGAGAAAGACCTTCCATTCACTGGTCATCTCCCCAACTGACTACAATGGCCAGAACTGAGCCAATCTGAAGCCAGGAGCCAGCAGTTTCTTCCAGGTCTTCCATGCGGTATAGGATCCCAAAGACTGTGGGTCATCTTCTACTGCTTTTCAAGGCCATAAACAAGAAGCTGGATGGGAAGTGGAACATCTGGGAGACAAACCAGTGCCCATATGGTTTTCTGGTCCTTGCAAGGTGAGGATTTAGCCACTAGGCCATCATGTTGTGTCCTGTTTCATACTTCTGTGCCTTTAAAATTATACATGCGGGGCCCGGCGCGGTGGCGCAAGTGGTTAAGGCACTCGCCTTGCACACCCGGGATCCCAGATGGGCACTGGTTCTATCCCGACAGCCCCGCTTCCCTTCCAGCTCCCTGCCTGTGGCCTGGGAAGACAGTCGAGGATGGCCCAAAGCTTTGGGACCCTGCACCTGCACGGGAGACCCAGAAGAGGCTCCTGGCTTCAGATTGGCATAACATCGGCCGTTGCGCTCACTTGGGGAGTAAATCATCGGATGGAAGATCTTCCTCTCTGTCTCTCTTCTCTGTATATCCACCTTTCCAATAAAAAAATAATAAAAATAAATCTTTTTAAAAAAATTATACATGCTACTGTTTGCTCTGTGGTGCCTCACTTCCAGTCGCTGCCTCCCCATTTTTCTCTTCCACTACAGAACACTGCTATATTCGTTCCTGAACCTCTGAGCAAAAAGCTGTGTTCCTTACCAGAAGGTCTGGTTCTGAACATATTTCAACCAGTGCATGTTTTGAACTATACTTGATTTGTTCTACATTTCTTTCCTTCAAAGCGAGTGTTTCTCAAGGACAGGATTATATATTGAATATACAAACCATGCTCGCCAATAATAATCATCCACTAATTTGTATAGAAAGAAAAAGAAATTTCTAAAGATCTTTTAAAAGTACTAGTACTGAGTGTAAACTGATTTTAAAAATGTCTTCAAATATGAGCTGTCTGAAATCAAATCTGATTTGGTGTTAAAAGCACAGAGGGTTTAAGCCACTACCACATGCAAAGCTGGCATGCCATATGGGCTGCCAGTTCAAGTCTCAGCTGCTCTATTTCCAATCTAGCTCTTTGCTATTGTACCTGGAAAAGTGACAGAAGATGGCCCAAGTCTTCAGATCCCTGTCACCAATGTGGGTGATAGACAGAGCTCCGGCCTCCTAGCTTCAGCCTGGCTCAGTTCTGGCCACTGTGAAGCAACAGATGCAAGACATCTTGCCTATCCCCACACCCCCTCTGACTTTGCCTTTCAGCTAAACAAATTAAAATAAAAGAGAGAGAGAGGGAGAAATCAACAGGAGGCAGCATTGCAGCACAGACTAAGCCTGTGCTTATATGGCAGCATCCCATATCAGGGTGACAACTGGAGTCCTGGCTGTAATCCAGCTTCCTCCTCCTGGCAATGCCGCAGATGACGGTCCAACTACTTGACACCAGCACCCATACAAGAGACCAAGATGAAGTTCCTGGTTCCTAGCTTCTGCCTGGTCCAGCCTTGGCTGTTGTGACCATTTGAGGAGTGAACCATGAATAAAGATCTCTCGTTGATTGTCTATCGCCCTTTCTCTGTGAGTCCCTCTGGTTTTCAAATAAATAAATACAAAGGAATGATATTAAAAATTGTACTTCTTTTGAACTGCACTAGAAAGTGCTTGTTTTTTGTAGTGCTATTACAGTAAGCCCTCTTAGAAGGTATAATTTTAGACATTTTTGAGAATCTACATGACACATACTAGTATCAGATGTGAACTGAAGCTATGTCTCAACACAAGTTACATTCCTAAGTAACAGCATTCAATGACGCTTGGTTGCAAGTGAACACATGTGGTTCCATTAGGAGGTTTATTTCTACAACTTACCTCTTTTTATTCTGGCTTCCTTAATTTCTTCACAGAGTTTATTAAACTCTGGATCCAATTCAGCTGCAATTATGGCATGTGCAGTGTCCTTCAGGGTACAAGCTCTGTGCCTAATTATTTTATCTGTTTAAAAAGTTGGCCAAAAGTTATTATACTTACAAATGAAACACAAGACATTGAAGAAAAGCACCTAAATATTTCAATAAAATTGTAAAAATATTTCTAGGTAAAAAAAGGTTCATTTTAATGGTAGGTTATTATGAAATACAATATGTTACTCAATCAAATTAATAATTGTCTAGAAATTGAACTTTTAGGATTTCAAGGTACCAAACCTATGGCTACTCACCCAGTCCTGCAGCTTTGAATACAGACTTCCAAATGTTTAAAACTCACACATTTTTCTCTCCATCCCAATGTCTACGGACATGATCTACCTGACGCTGCCACTTGGCGAGTGGTTATCCCAAACTTCTGACCCAAACTGGGTTTCTCATTTCCCTGCACCCTGCTACTGAATCTGCCCTTTCTCTCACACTCTCTACCACCTCAGTACAGGAGTCTCCTCCCCACTCAGCTGACCAAACCAGAAACCTCAAGGACTATGCTTGTATTATTAACTTTTTAATTAAAAATGTGAACTTTTCAATAATTTTAAAAGAACTCAAGATATTCACTATGTGCCCAAACCAAGTTACCAGAGATAAAAATCTGAAAATTAAAAAAAATCTCATTTTTCTTATATAATTGCTTTTAAAAAAATGCTAAGCATCATGTTATTCCCTTAAAAAAAAAGTGACTTATTTTTTAAACAATGAAATAAGCACAAAGAGACTTTCTAAGCTAAGAGTACCAGCAGTATATAAAGTACAGACAAGGCCAGGAAAACACAGCAGAGCTTCAGGACAGTGACACCTGAAAACTGTACTGAAGGAAGGGCCTCTGCTCTATGCTAACCCAGTAGTTCCCATTGACACATAAAGTAATGTAAACAGAGTCCCCTAGAGTTGAACAAGGCAAACATTAAAAGGCAAGTAAATAAACAAGATAACTTATAGGGTAACACAAGAATCCAAAGTCACAAAATGGCATCTGTTTTATCCTCTCTAGCAAAGGAAAAAAAGGTATGAACAAGAAAAAAAAAAAAATAGATCCTACATACATAACAGGTCATTACAAAAATCTTACAAAAATAAATACAAAACACTCAAAGGCAACCAGTAATATATTTCCAAGAGATTTTCTCTAAATACTCAGCCAGTATTGATAATCAACTAAAGCAGGAAAAGTCAAGTGGCAGTCATGCAATAGTGAATAGAATTTTTCACACTAGTATAGAAAAATGCTGTTAAGGACTCTGCATGGTAGCCTAGTGGCTAAAGTCCTTGCCTTGCACATGCAAGGATCCCATATGGTACCAGTTCTGATCCAGCTACCTGCCTGAGGCCTGCAAACCAGTAAAGGACAGCCCAAGACCTTGCGACTCTGCACCCAAATGGGAGACTCAGAAGAGGCTCCTGGCTCCTGGCTTCCAATCAGCTCAACTCCAACTGTTGCAGCCACTTAGGCAGTGAACCTGCAGATGGAAGATCTTCCTCTCAGTCTCTCCTTTTCTATGTAAATCTGACTTTCCAATGAAAATGAAAATAAATAAATCTTATTTTAAAAAAAAAGAAAAACCATTGAAAGGAAATGGGCAGGAAAATAATGTGACTCAAATCTGTATCTCTGAATGATCATTTTCAATATTATCTGGATACTGGATTGAAGGGAGTCAAGAATAAAATCCAGCAGCACAGTGACAGGTTCCTTTTTCAGTCACAAAAGTTGGTGACTTGAACCAGGGTCAATGGTGGCTGTAGTGGTAGCTGTGAAAGAAGAGAATACAACATATTTTAAATGGAATCTCAATAATAAAGTTGATGAGAGCAGGTCAAACTGCAGCTGGTAATGCCAATTTCCCATGTCAGAGTATACAGTCAAGTCCCAGATACTCCACTTCCAATCCAGTTTCCTGTTAAAGTGCCTGGTAAGGCAGTAGTAAATGACCCAACTATGTGGGCCCCACCATGCATGTGGTGACCGGGATGGAGCTCCTGAATGGAGCTCAAGACCTGGCTGTTGTGACCATGTGAGGAGCAAACCAAAGGATAAAAGATAACTGTCCCCCGCCCTCATCTTTCCCCTCATTCTCTGTTACCCTGCCCTTCAAATAAGAAATAGAAATCTTTGAAGTAGATGTGAGAGTATGTAATGGTATCAAAGTTTCCCTAACTTCTTGCATGCACAACACACAGACAGAACTACTACTGTTAAACATACACAAAAAAAGAAAAGAGTGGGAAAGGGAGAGAGAGGGAGGGAGGAAGGAGAGGCAAAAAAAGAAACAGAAAAGACCAAAAGGAAAGAAATTAGCTGCCAAGTTTTAGGTTAAAGAGCTTTGCATTCAGCATTGCAAACTGAAATGCCCAAGAAATTCTTAATGGAGATATCCTTTATGACTGAAGAACCACAATCTTCTATAACCAGCATTTATTATTAGCATACTGTGTTTATGGTCTTTTTAAAAATATATTTTTATTTTGAATTCTGAATTATGTGGACAATTTCGTATATGCTGGGAGTCCCCTCCCAAGTCCCACCCCCCGACAGATGTTCCCCACTTTACTACAATAGTGTAGTCCTTCATAAGGAATCATAATTATATCAGTCTCTTATTTACGTGTACCCCGACATTGTTGGTACAAACAATGGGATGCTGGACTGCCTGACATTGTCCGGTCTTTTTAAAGAATAGATTTAATGAAGCATAATAGACATATAAAGAACTATATACATTTAATGTAAAAAAAAAAGTGTATTTATACTTTGACATAGGTACACATCAAAAACATCCTCCCAATTGGAATACTAAACTTGTCCTTCACCATCAAAATTTCCCTATGTCTCTCTAATTTCCCTCTTCACCTTTCCTCACAAACCTCCATTCCTAAGCTCCCACCAATTCACTTTCTACTACTACAGATCAGCTTATATTTTCTAAATTTATACACACACACACACATATATATATATATTATTCAGAGAACATTCTCTGTATCTCTGTTCTTTAGCTCAACATAATTATTGAGATTTATCCCAGCTGCTACAGGTATCAGTATTTCATTGCTTTTATTGCTCAGTAGTTATCCAATTGGTGGATGTGACAATCTGTCCAGTTACATGGTGATGTCACATTAAGAATAATCATCGTATTGGCTATCATGAACAAAGATACACAAACATAAATAATCTGTGAATTAACATAAGGCTGGGACATATGAGAACTGTATATTTCACATTCTAAGGCACTATTGAAGTGTTTTTCCAAAGTAGTTGAACATTTTACATCTTTATAAGCAGAGTATCAATAGTTCATTCTCATAATGAAGTGCTGGGGTTTAAAACCAGCTTCCTGTTAATAAAAGCACAGCCTGGGAAGTCCTGGTGGCAGCACGAGTAATTGAATTCCTGCCAACCACACTGGGGACCTGAATTGAGTTCCTGGCTCACACCTTACGCCCAGCCACATCTAGCCATTGGAGTATTAGGGAAATGAACTAGGGATGGTAGCTTTCTTTCTGCCACTCAAATAATATTAACTTTCAAAAACAACTATGCATGAGTCTATTTCAGAGCCATTTTATTGACCTTTATATCAATATTTCTCTGTATAGATTACTCTAACTTGGAATCTTGAAACAAGGTGTATTAAATCATGCAGTTCTGCTTTATTTTTTAAGTTGCTGTGTCTCTTCATTGTTGCCTGCACTTTCATATGAATTCTGATGGGTGCTCCATCTAAGATTCAGTCTGGGGAGAAATGATGTCTTCACAATGCTGAGTCTTCCAATCTACACACATATCTTCCCACTTGTTTCTCCTCTAATCTCTCTTAGCAGTATTTTAAAGTTGTCATATGTAAGTCTTGTATATAGATATGTATTCATATTTTTGTTACTACTGACTACTGTAAGCAGTGCTTTAAAATTTAATTTCCTATTGCTTGTTTTTCATATACAGAAATAAGTGAGGTTTGTATATTGACATTACACCTGACAACTTTAATTCACTTACTAGTTTTAACAGCTGCTTTCTAAGTTACACAAGCTCTTCTATGTAGATATCACAATTCTACATGCAAAGATACTTAATTTCTCCCTTTCCAAGCTAGAATATTTTTAATTTTCTCACTGCACTGGCTGGAAGCTCCAGAATAACATTAGGTAACAATGGTAACAACGGGTATCTTGGCCATGTTTTTGGTATTTGAATACAGGTATAGCCTTGTGTCATTAGTATGACATTATCTTTAGGCTTCCTGTGGCTATTCTTCACTAGATAGAGAACAGTCCTTTCTATTCTCGGTTTATTGATGGTTTTTAATCAGGAATGGATGCTGGATTCTGTCAAATCCTTTTCTGTATCTACTGAGATAATCAGAAATTTTTCTGTCAACACAATCAATTACAACCGGGTTTCAAATGTTAAGGCAATCTTGCATTCCTGGGATAAATCTTACATTATATTCCTTTTTATCATATCAAGAAACAGGAGCTTCTTTTGGGTCTCCCACTTGGGTACAGGGTCCCAAGGCTTTGAGGTCATCTTCCACTGCTTTGCAAGGCTACAGGCAGGGAGTTGGATGGGAAGTAGGGCAGCTAGGACATGAAACAGCACCAATATGGATGCTGGCATTTGCAGGCAGAAGATTAGCCAGTTGAGCCAATGCACCAGTCCCCTCAAAATTCTTAAGTAACTGATACTTTACTGCCATGAAGTTGTTTGTAATATTTTCTTATTGTTCTTTTAGTATGTAGAGGATATATAATAATGTCACCTTCCTACCCTGAGCAGTTCAGCTAGAGATCAATTGCTGACCTAAAAGAGTCATTTTTGGATTTGTTTTCTATTTGTATTTTTCTCTTCTCTATCTAACTGATTTCTGAATAGATCTTTATCGTTATTTAATTTACTCTTCTTTAAGGGAAGCTAAGGTCAATGATCTGAGACATGTCTTCTTTTCTTAGTGTTAACATGCCCCCTTCTGTACTGCTCTCTAGCTGCAGCCCACAAATATGTTC